GCTGGGTTGCACCATCTTTCTTTAACTTTAACAGACGTCAAAAATCTGTAAAAGTTCAAACAGAATGCACCGGTTATCGTTAAAGTTACCGTTAAAGTTAGGTGGTGCAACTCAGCCTTAATTTAGTTTAAGAGGCTCTGTAAAACAACTGTAAAAATATTTCGATTCTCAATTGCGAGGTTAGCTTCATCTCGACAATCAATAATTTGACTCTGACTGTTAATAAAGCATTTCAACACAAAGGGACTTCCAAATAAAATATCCACACATTTACGAAACAATTTCGTTTATTTTGCAAAAAGCATCTGATTACACGCACATATTAGGTAAAACCTACCTAAAGGTTAATCTCACGCATCCCGTCAAATAATTTAAACATGTCTATTCAATATAGCAATAATACAGTTATATTCCATTCCATGCATCACGTATGGCATCCAAAATAATATTTACAACTCTTTATAATATGAAGATACTGTCAAAAACTGAACTGTCAACTTCTAAAGCCCGGTCCGTGAGCACGTAGAATTTTGTCCAATGACCCCAAGCTGTCATCGCTCGCGCGATTCATTGGACAAAGTTCTACGTGCTCGCAGACCAATGGTTAAAATATTTTATACATGGTTTTATTTATCCTTCAAAATTAAGTGGCAAAAGCTGTGGTAGGGTTAATAAATAAAAAAAATATTGAGACGTGTGAAAATACTGGAAACAAAACTAGAATTTTACAAAAACACCGAGACCTAGTTAAGTAGTGGTGTTACGAGCTTGAGTTCAGTTGTGAGCTTGCTTGTGTTGTTACTCGTACATACACTAAGGCTGGTTTTAGTGTCACGCGGACTGTCAGTGCGGATCGCTCCGCACAGCCGATCTGTATGAACTGCTAGGGAGCGAGCGGTTCCTCTGGACCGCATTACTCTAAAACACTCCCTAGAAGTTCATACAGATTGGCCGTGCGGAGCGGGTCCGCACCGGACGGTCCACGTGACACTAAAACCAACCTAAAAGGTAGCAATGTAACATTTGAACATCTTTATACTACCCTTTATTGTTGGAACTTCTGTAACATTGCGAAGTGATTAAATGAATGTAAATATTTTCATAAATTGTGCCTTTATTTTGAGTATATGAGATATACTAGTAACGAAGTTAACGATTCAGTTTTTGACATACAAAAGTTTCGATCAAAATTACCTATGAGCAAACAAAACTATGCATAATAATTAATAGACTCTGAATAGCTAACAACGAAATAAAATTGTGTCAACAAAATAAAGGACTCAGTCCAATGAATGTCACAGATAAAAAATAACAACTCTATAACAATAATAAATATCTACGACATCGATTCATAACCAAGATTTGCCTTTAACAAGTTATTTTTTCATGAAAACTTTTCTAAGTATAGTTCTTGCAACTCACGAAGGCTTTACTTGTGTGTGTTACGTGTACATGCACATAACGTTAGTGTAATGTCTATCATAACTTTGGAAAACGTATAGTAGCGAGTCACCACACATGTAAGCTCATTCGCCTTCGTGAATTAGAACAACTTATAACAAGAAGTTACATAGAAAGTATTTTGCACCTAAGCCCATGCCCAAGCAGACTCGATTCGAACTTATATGGACTCAAGCTTGTGATTGGTCGAATTTCAAAGATGACCTACTACAGACTAGGGGGAGCTACTCCGAAAAACGCTCCGAAGTTTCGAACGTTACCATCTCTCTCACGCATAGCGAGATGCCAGCATGAGCGACCGTGACAGATAGACCCGAAATTATGTTAACAGCGTTTTGAAATAGTTCATGGTGCCTATGTATTATCAAATCTCAATCTTTCAAATATCAAAGATAAATAATGTTTTCAATGTTAAAATAACGATATTAAAGGCATATCTTCAGCTATAAATCAATGTAAAGGAACCTTCAAACAAATCTGAGCTTTTCTATAAAGCTAGAGATTATTCACAAATATTAAACCTACCAAAAGATTGCTTTTCACAAAAAAGTGGTATATACGACGTTATTTAAGTCTAGCAATAAAATGACAAGTTCCACAAATTGATTTTATACTTCAACTCTATGAATATAAAGTTAAAAATCAATTAAGGAAAGACTCTTTATGTAGGCTGATGTGAATACTTTTAAATTGTTTTTCTTTTTACCATTATAATCCATTCTTTTAAACATAGTAATATGCACCTTAAAAAATCATAATAACGTTGATTTCACGATAAACTATTCTATACATTGAACTACATCTATTAAACAGTTTAAATTTACATATTGCTGTTTCGTATTTCTAGTTTTATATTACATCTGACAGCTAAAGCTAATGCACAAAAATAAAGTGCTCATACTATGTTAATACATTTAGTTGATCTGGTACATTCTGTCTATATTTACTTAAATAAAAAGCCTGTCGTATAAAACAATACTCAAAGTTGAGGACTAGTTAAGTATTCTCAAAGCAATTTCTCAACGTCGACAGCCTGTTATGTAGAACACTAAATAAAAAGACCACTTTGTGTTCAGTGTCAAAATGTGATTTCACAAAATATTTTGCGAATGAAAGAAACCTTTGACGTCACGACAAATGTCAATTTACTTTCGACAGGGACTTTGACCCTTACTAGTTGAGTTTTTATTGGCGGTCAAGCTGTAAATTCTGGCTACAGAGGAGTCGCAGCGGTGGGAACGAGAGGTGGGAATAGTCCCGTAGTTGGTCAACTAAATTTTAATAGATCTGATTTAAGTTCCAACTTTGAGTATCGTTATCTTCTTGGGGATAACGAATTTCATTCAAATACTTTTTTGCAAGGGAAACCACACTAACTTGATGGTCTAGTTTTAATGTATTTAGCAATTAGCGCTGCCGATCCATTTAGTGTGGTACAGTCCTTAGGATTCAAAGTGCATTCTAAAGGTTAGATTTGCTACCTATAGAAAAGGCTACAGTGAGAACAAAATAATGGACGGATCTGAACTAAAAAAAATTAAAGGCTCAATTGGTACTTAATTACCCTCATTTTTGCAATAATGTTTCAATTAACTGTCAAAATTTATCAGTGTTGTACTCAAAATTTTAGTGTAGATTGTGCATTAAATAAAACACAATTTAAGATCATAACTAAGGGTTACTCTGGACATCTCTTTCTCACCGTACCATAATGATCAGGACGAAACATCTTCGGCTAAAACTTAATATATTAGTGATGCGGCGTAAACTTGGTACCAAAATAACCTTCACAATAAAACTTTAAGTATTCGATTAATTGAGAAAAATAATAAATAAGAAAAGCCTAAATTTAGTGTCAGTGAACTTAAGTCAAAGTTTAGAACTTTTAAACAGATATGGATTTTAGAAAGTTAGTTGTTGTAATACCTAAAGAATTCACAACCATTTCTTATTACTCATTTTAATACACAGGCTGTATGTGACGTTATTTTCACATACTACTTAATTAATTAATGAGAGACACTAAAATTGGCTACAATTTTTTATAATAAAATTCGTTAAATCTAATTTAATAATTATTTTTTCTATAATAAATCCACTATAATAATTTGAGCCTAATTACTTATTCAAAGGAAGACACATTGAATTTACAACAGCATATTCCTGAAGGTTAGAGGAAAATTAGTTTTGAAAACAAATTTTAAATTAAAAACGACTTTTCTAAACTTCATTATCTAATAGTAACTTTGCAGTGACTAATGTTTTTATCAATTTCTCAAAAAAAACAAGCAAAAAAAATCGTTGAAAGATGTCTATTAGATTTTTCAAACACTTTATTGCTTTCGTCAGCCTGTATTTAAAGGGTACAAGAAAAAAATATAGATAGAGATAGTTGCCCATATTTCACAAGAGTTAGTAATTTTTTATTATTACAACTATATTAGAAATAATATTTCTTGACACAACACTGACACATCAAATCTAACGGTTTTGTTAATAAGTTAATCGTAGCACATCAATTATTACTTTAAAAATTGTTTTTTTTTCTATTGAAGCGTTATTTGTCCCCATATCATTATCGTATCTTCCTAAAAAGTTTTAAATGAAATCATTAAAATCTATTTATTTCTAATTATTTTGACTAAATATTTACATTATTTTTTTTATATTTTATATCTATTTATTTACAACCCGCACAGATTACAATATTGAAAAATATTAAGACCATAGATAATTCTGCTCACACGCAATACTTATGAGTGATAGATTTCTATAACACGTTATCTATCCATCTCTTTCACACAGCTTGAAAATCCGAAACGAATGGAAGAGATAGAAAGAGACGATTTCATAATCTATGCGGTTTACTAAATTCATCCTTTTAGAAATGTCCAAAAAGTCAATGAATATTATCTGAGAAACACCCGTTTTATAAATTATTATTATTAATATAATTTGATTATACCTCAGTAACTTGGACCTAAAACTTGGAAAACCCATTCACAATATGAAAAATGTATTTTATTCTGAAGTGAATTTTAATCTTTCTCTAATAATAATCTTTGAACATTTCTAAATTGATGAACAATCAGAAAATCTATTTACAAAGGTGCCAGATATACCATCAATAAATAAATTGAAAATAAAATTCGTAAAAATTCTCAAATTTTATAAAAATAGAAATTTAGTGTTTGTATTGTTTTTAAAACAATATAAGAATACTGTCTCATTAGAATCTACGATAGAAAAAATAATAAGACGAATATAATACACTGTTTACTCTTATGGTTAATACTTTGATAAATCGTTTTTTTACATAATCATACCTTGTATAATACTATACTAAATTGCTATAATAAGTTAAATATTATTTGACTATTTATTTACATTCACATGCTTTGGCCTTACTGTGAATAATTACACTAACACATATTTAGGCCTTTTAATATAGAATTCAGCCTCTAAAATAACTTAAAAAGTAAAAACTATATTTAAAAAATCACCATTTATATAATTTTCCTAATATTTTAATGACCCATACTATACAATATTTGGTTACAAGGAATCAAAGTGATGATACGTTTCACTTCTTTGGTAAATATATATATACAGATAGTACTAACGAAGCTAGTCAATAAAATTCCATACAATTGAGATATAATAAAGATGAAAATAGTTTCAGTTACACGATACAATGATTTTTCTTTTCGTTGACAAATATATGAAGCATTTGAAGACCAGCTTTAGATAGTTTCACAAACTACATTCACTCAGATAATATTAGTTAATTATTTATCAAAACTTTTATATTTCCATATATTTGTAGATAAAATCCACTCTGTACAAAATGTCTAACATTCAAACTGACTTAAAACTAGTTCCGTATATGGCAATGTTCCAAATATCCTTTGACGTCAATCATACTATTTTATTGACAACTTCACAGCACATCACACCAAACTACTAAGTAAGTACACTGCTTCGTTGAGATTCAAGTAGGCCTCAAACCGCTGTAGTAAAATACGATCAGAGGGATGCCAAATCCGACGCTCTTCTAGAAGGAACCGGCACTCTTAATTGCGCTGATCCTCTTCTATCTAACCGCTCCATAGCGTCCAGGTCGGAAGCGTTACGCCTGCAGAAGCTACAGAAAGCACAGGCTAAGGTGTTCTTGAACGCGTTACGGAAGTCTCTGTTGAAATACGCGTATATAATCGGGTTCAACGCTGAGTTAAAGTAACCAGTCCAGAACATGATAACAGTCACAACGTCTGGGACGCTACACGAGTCACATAAAGACGTCGACACGTAGTATAAGAAGAAAGGCAGCCAGCACAAGATGAAGGCACCCATGATGATGCCCAAAGTCCTGGCAGCTTTGTGCTCTCTCTTCATCTTCAGTATATTTCTATCCTTCGTTGGGGTAGTGGCATTAATGTGGAGGGCGCCATTTTTGTCGCCCACCTCTCGCGAATGCCTATGCATGAGCATAGCATTGCCTGCTCTCGCATGTAACGCCTTTTCTTGTCTATTAGCTTCTTTAAATATAGCTAAATATGTAAATATCATGATAGTGCAAGGTATCCAAAACGATATTGAGCTGGATATGACGGCGTATGGCTTATTCACTTTGAATTCGCACTGATCGCTCACTCGGTGCTCGAGGAAGTCTGTCGTGGTGTACCAACCCATGAAGATAGGTACGTATGATATCGTGATGGGGCTCAACCATGTCGCTGCCAACATGACGAAAGCCATCTGGGGAAAGAAAAGTAATCAATTCCTTTTTGAAGTTGTGAATACTTTGCGCAATCGAATTTTTAATACACGTCACGTTGGATTGGACGTTGTTGTATGCTTTGTAATGGATGAAAGGAACAATGCAAACAGCTGGTCTTTTAATATCTGTATGGTTAAGGACTTTTTCGTTACTGAATTTGAATATTAAAAGAATGTAGTGAGAAATAATTCATTGTAAGATAATGAATAAAAAAATATCATGACGTAACACAACGGGATTTCCAATTAAAATAAAAAGGACGAAAAAGTAAAATTCATACATCGGAATTGCAGATTCTTCGAAAAGTAATTTCGGGATTCCGCATTCTCAGGCATTAAAATTCAAAGGCGGCTGCATCGCAAGAATTCAATATTAAATTTTTCACATTAATAATAATGTCTGGTAAAGCCGACAGAAAAGTCCAACTACATAATATTTATGTTGGAAAACTTATTAATATAAATGTAAGTAATAATGTTATAGTTAGAAGGTTCCGTGGTCTGTACATTTTAAAATACAAAACTAACTCACTTAATCGTTCAATCTCTGTCAACTAAAAAGACAGTGATAAAATAGGCTTTTTGGTGAAATAATAGAAGTAGCGGGTAATTCCATCTTCGTGGCTCATAAGCTAAGTGTTTTACGTGACGACTGCCGTGATGAGGTCATTCCGTGGCAATCACTTAAAACATGTGAAGTTGACATTGAAAGCTCACGGCTTACAGCTGACAGGAGTGGATTAAATGGTGAATTTTTTTTATCACCATTTACTTGATAAATAAATGATTTGATTTGATTTGAAAAATAAATCCTAGAAGTGTCAGTTTTAGTCCTATTGACCGCTAAGCTAAATATGCTCGTGATACAAGTGGGTTCACCACAATACGGTCATAGGTACGCCCGTATTCACAAACGATGCTTGCTTAAGTGACACAGCAAATCGAACGCACAGCGTTGAATGGAGCTCTGTGATTTTGTCACCTTGTGCGTCCACGCGCACTGTGAGACCTCATAGTAATGTTTGTGAATACGGGCGTTAGTTCACCAGACGGCGAACTTCGAACCCACGTTCCTCAGATCTCGAGTCATCCATGCAGTCGTTGAAAATTTAAAGTGTTTTCTGTGAGGTATCTTTAAGGCTGGGTTGCACCATCGTATTTTAACTTTGACATACGTCAAAAATCTGTCAAGCTCCTTAGAAAAACACAGGTTATCGTCATAGTTACGGTCAAAATTAGGTGGTGAAACTCAGCCTAAGTATTATGTCACGTTACCTATAATTGCCTATAACATATTCATTTTGACGTCATAGATACTTATTCTAATCGTGTAAGCAGGTTGTAGCGACTGAGATCACAACCATAGGCTTAATGAATTACCATAGACAAACGGTCAGCAGTTGCTACAAGCAACTAAATGTAAAACACGACAAACTTTATGTTTTCTTGACTATTTTTAATCACTTTCTTAAGAACGCATAATTTTAATCTAATATTAGAAAATATTATGCAAAGAAGCGATTGAAGTATCTTTGTATGATTATTAATTTTTGTTACTTTCGCGTGTATTTTTCTGAGAATAGAAACTGACATTTTTATTATTCGTAAACTTTGAAAACTTCTTTTAATTAATACCTACATCAGTCATAAACTTAGGCTGGGTTGCACCATCTTACTTTGACTTTAACAAACGTCAAAAATCTATCAAACTCCATACAAACAACACCGGTTATCGTCAAAGTTACGGTCAAAGTGGTAGTGCAACTCAGAGTCTGATTCTGAGTCCAGAAAAGACAGAAAAGTAGCCAAACCTTTTTCGTCATCTTAATCGGGTACTTCAGCGGTTTCACGATTGCGTAATATCTGTCCACCGATATGCAGCACAGATGGAGTATGGACGTCGAAGTGAAGTACACGTCCGAAGAGTTCCATAGGTCGCAGATGGTTTCGCCGAAGACCCAGCGCTGGTTGAACTGGACACTGAAGTTGAATGGCATGACCACCATTGCGACTAGGATGTCAGCGAACGCGAGGGAGACGACGAAGTAGTTGGTTATGACCCGGAGTTTTCTGTAAAAAATGGGTAAAATGAATTCGATATTTTTAAGGATAGTGGTTCCCTTAGTTACACTGTTCTTGGCTTTTATATGGCATGGTTCCGAGTCCGACAGAACAAAATAGGACCACTTCCACTCTTACCGTGGATGTCGTAAGATGCAAAAAAGGAACAAAAATATGGGAACATCAAGCCTCTTAATCCTGTCCGCAGCGTGGAGAGTATCCTAAACCAAATCCTTCATATGCCTTTGGTATATTAGAAAAAGTAATGCTACTGCCACTGCAGCTGCAGTAATGCCCTAATTAACTTCACGATACTGATACTATTGTGTAGTGGCATTTATTTTCGTATTCTGTGTGGTGTGCAGTGGCAGTAGCTGACAAATATGGGATCAGGCCTGTCTCCTAGCCAGGCAGGGTGAGAAGTGTAGACTAAATTCTTCATTATGCTTCTGTCAAACTAGAAATGATCGTGCTACTGTCATAGCAAAAGACGTGATAGTGATACGCGTATTTGAGTATACTTTACCTGTGCCTCATGCGACTAGGTAGGCTGCTATTGTATACATTGACTACTAGATACTTTCGAATCGAGTCGCGTCGCGTCTCTTCACGTCACATTGCCGCGTTTGTCGTTCAAGTTACTTATGCACTAACTGTCTTCATGATACCGCACTGCAGCGGCAGTAACTGAACTAAATGACTTGATGACTGTACCTGTGCCTCATGACACTGACGATGACCAGCAGGTTGCCGAGCACCGCCATGATGACGATGAAGATTTATGAGGTCGTCTGTCCTTTTTTTGGGTAAACACCTTACGCTACACTTGCCGGTACGTGGCCTCCACTCTAGAACCCTGCTGCCCCATCAGCCGTCATGCACTAAAGGATTCCATGATACTTCTGCAGTTCATTTCTTAGATAACTTTGATGATACGCATATGACTGTACCTGTGCCTCATGACACTAACGATAACCAGCATGTTGCCGAGCACCGCCATGATGACGATGAGCAGCAGCACGCAGGTGCGCAGCTTGAACACCACGCTGTCGGTCCACTTGCCCGCCTCGGTCGCGTTGTACGGGCCATAGTCGCCGGTCGCGTTCGACGGCCGACAATAGTTAGGCTGGTTTTAGAGTCACGCTGACCACCAGCGCTGACAGCCGAAATGTATGAAGCGTCGGCGCCGAGCGATTAGCGCCACTCAGGAACGTTCACTTAACGTTCGTTCAATTACGTACATATTGAACTGTCAGCGCCGACGATCAGCGAGCGGTCAGCGCGATTCTAAAACCCGCCTTACTAATGCACTAAGTAACTTTATGATACCTACTATTGCAGCAGCAGTAACTGGCAATATGGGAGTAAGCCTGCCTTCTAGCCAGGGTGAGGAATGTAGACTACTAAATCCTTCATATACTACTGTCAAACTAGAAAGAGTCTTGTTACTCCAGTGTCAGTAACTATGGTTACATGGGAAGACTTGATGATGATACGCGTATGACTGTGCCTATGCCTCATGAGACTGACGATGACCAGCATGTTCAAAGTCCGTCATTAGTTACTAATGCACTAGGTAAATGACTTCATGCTACTTTCTCTAAAGAGGCAGTACCAGACTTACTAAAAAACTTCAGAGTACGCGTATATTAGTATTGCTTTACCTGTGATTCATGATACTACCCCTAGAAAATGATGATAAATAGTGGTAGTGGCTAATGCACTTCGTGATACTGCCACTGTTGTGATGGTAACTGATTTACTAAACGACTTGGTGACTGTACCTGTGCCTCATGACACTGACGATGACCAGCATGTTGCCGAGCACCGCCATGATGACGATGAGCAGCAGCACGCAGGTGCGCAGCTTGAACACCACGCTGTCGGTCCACTCGCCCGCCTCGGTCGCGTTGTACGCGCCATAGTCGCCGGTCGCGTTCGACGGCCCGATGTGGGTGCCGTTTACGCGATCCATATGTGGCGATCTGAGGGCAAAATGTTGATTATCCCTCTTGTTGATAACACTAGGCCTATTCATCTCCCTGAGTAGGCATTGAAAACAAAACACGAGCGGCGCACTCGCCGGCGAGTTTAATCCACAAGTGATTCACGAGCGAGTAGTCGCATATGACGTCACTCACTGTGAGTGACATATTATGCGAGCGTTACCACCTTCAGTTCATGTTCAGGAGGGCGAATTTGCCACGAATCCTACGCGCGTAGAATCATACGCGCGTTGGCGAGATACTAGCAGCCAATACATTGCGTACACAAGAAATGCGCTAGTTGAAAATTCGCGCATAAATCGCTTCATACATACGATCGTGTTCGCGCGAAGACATTCGCGACGAATTCGCCCTCCTGGACAGGGCCTCACCCATTGTAAAAAAGTATTCGCTATGGAAAGCATGTGGTGCTCTAGACGGCGACACAGTAAGCAGCATGTTGTAACTATCATACATATCGCATCGGCACAGTCACTGACGGTACTTGCCTCTGAGACAATCTAAATTACACCATTATTGTTGACGAAATTAAGTATACATTTTATATCTTCGAGAAGAAAATTTTCTGTACGTAGTATTATTATACTGGGACAACACTAAAAACTAGAGCAGGTGTATAACATGTAAACTATTATTAGCGTCTTCTCATCACAGCGATTAAGGGTTCGTTTATTTAGGGCTTGTACAGTCAAGGTTTGCAGAGTTAGAAGCTTTACTCGACATCAGGTCTGAGGCCTAAACCATTGTAGTCTTGTCTTGTCTGAAAATATTTTTAGTGGATACTTCGACATGAGTCACTAATATAACCAATGCTTAGACAGATTTAGAACCAATATTAGTAGTGAGTTTTTGGCAGTTATCTTCATAAACATTATTATGTGCATTGCGTGTCTATTAATATACTTTTGTAAAGAAAAAACCGCGACCAAAATACCAGATCGGGTTATTATCATTATCCATTTAATGAAGACTTTTCTCATCAAGCAAGCTCAAATATAGAAAGGTCTTGTTATGATCTTCAAATTAAAAAGATATGAATAATGAATGAAAGGAGCCAAATTCTTAAGGTTCTTAATTTGGTCTTCGGTACCTTTTTGGAATATCAAATAATATTTTTAAAGGTGGAGTAAAATTTCACGAAATTTAAAAATAGTTTATTTCTGTGTTTCTAGTATTGTGGTCGTCTTGGTGCTTTACGCATTTTGTTTTCAGTGTTCCGTTCCCCAATTGTGCCAATATTATAGGATCCTATAGCCCTTTTCCTACGAGCTCTTGGAAACCAAAGTGCGCCCCTCAATACGGGGTATTATAAACCTGTCAAGTTGTTTACTCCACTTTACATCAAAATATTTTAAAAAGTATGAGACTGAGACCCGTTTTCACCATCAATCCCTAATATTTAAGTGACCCCTATGACAACAAAATTCCTGTTATGTGTTACCATAGGGGTCACTTAAAATTAGGGATTGATGGTGAAAACGGGCATTACAGTATTGAAATTTGGAATATTATGTTCTGCAACTAATTTAGTTTCATAATCAAAAGCGCATTTTATACTTAATTTGCAATTTTATTGATTTTTTGTCGTAAACCGTGATTTAGTATTGGCTTTGCCAAAACAACAATAGATGCCACCCGTATTGAGTGACTTTTGACTTGGCAACAATAGGTGCCTACCGTATGTAAGAGGCTAGTAAGCCTCCTCCGTCTTTCAGAGTGCTGTAATTTTCAATAGGTAACCACCACTATTCTTTCATGCAAAAATTACTGAAGTGATTTCGATGGAATATCCTCCAGAAAGTTTAAGACCCAGGGAAAAATATAGAATAATATCTATCCCGATTTTCAAGGGACACGCGCGTGAAATAATGCATTCTGTAACAGATCAACATTTAATTTTGATCGAGTGAACCCACGGGAAAAGTAGTATTAAATGTATATTCTCACCTTTATCTCGCTCGTTTCGTTTTTTCTTCACCGCTACCGCGATCATTAGTGTCACTCATCACCACCATCGTTACACTCATAGACAACTCATCACTGATTGTTCACTCAGTTTATTCACAGATTTCTTCTTCACAGTCTCAGTTTTTTGTTTCTGAGGCTTCTTCGTGTTCATTTTGTCGCGGGTTCGATTCTCCGATGCATCACGCTGCCTTCAGTGTGTCTACTGAAACAATGAAAATGTAAATATTAGCATTGACGTCTTTGGAAAAGTCACTAAATTAGCATAGGCCAAGGAAAGGCATTATAGTCGGATGAGTCATCTGGTTCAGGAAATTATTTACTTAAAGAGTATATTTTTTTATGTAGTTACATAATCTCGCACTTGATTAAAATTTTGTATCGTTGTAAACAGATCTTTTATTTTCTTAATACATTTTCTTTTCTTTTATTTTTCGTTTTTCTCCTATTTGCATCATTGAGAAATTCGTAAACAATTTTTTTTCTTTCTACTTTTTTTCGTATAATTGAAATCAAAGTATATTTTTTTCTTATGAATATCCTTGCCGTTACCAATAATTTTACTACCCAAATAGGTACCTACCTACCTAAATAGATCTTCACAGTAATGCCAGTTCCATATATCTACCTACATTCGTCAAAATCTCAAAAAACTGACCCAAAAATGTCAACGGCATACTCGAAATACAAATTTCATACAATGAAACCAATAAAAATCCATCCAAATACTCCAATTAAGCCGTACTCCCCTCTTCCGCCAATCTGAATAACAAAAGAACCATGAAAAGGTCAGAACTGGGACATACCACAGATTTATTGAGTAAGCTCAATGCTCAATACCTACTCAACCCTTAGAGCTCACTCATGAGCTAAAAGACTGACGTGTAGCTAATAGACATGTTGACACCACCAATCAATTGACGTACTTTTTAAAACTTTCAAACCGAAACTCTCCCATAGATTTTGTATGGCACTACAAGCAAGTGACGTCACTATTTTGTCAACTCATATAAACTACTTTTTTCAATTACAATGCGACCAAAAATCTAAATTTACAGGTAATTTCAAATTAATTAAGTTCTTAAGACCAGAATGAAGTGTCTTTTTAGAAAAGTTGTGATTTCGAATTATTCGAGAATGGTGTCAAATTGTCCATTATTACTCAAGGCGATCGTTGAATACAATTTTAAAATCAATAAAAGTAGGCTAACAAGGCACTGTGTAAGTCCCAAATATAGTTTTCCCTACTAATTTAGGACAAACAACATAAAAAATACCGCACAAATGAATGCCTCAGGTCTGTGGTTCAATGCTAAAGAGTGATACTCATTCAGGGATTTATTTATTTATTTATTTATTTTAGGAATTACAAACAAATGTGTTACAGAAATTAACTTATCTACTAGACTTATGTATTATTTATGTATTGATTCTGGTCTTTGATTGAATTTTGGAAAAAGAGCGATAATAAGTATGAATTTATTTCCAGGTTCGTTGGTGTCCTAACTAAACTTGAAATTCCGTAAATGGTAATTTTTCAAATCGTTGATCTAATGGAGCTACGTCAGACGGCGTGTAATTTACACTAATTCTCTACATTTTATAAAATTAGAATTTTGTCTGTCACAGAAAAACTTTATCGCGAGCGTCCCTGTTTCAAAAACCGGGATAAAAACTATCCTATGTCCTTTCCCGGGACTCAAACTATCTCTATACCAAATTTCATCAAAATCGGTTCAGTGGTTTAGACGTGAAAGCAAGACAGACAGAGTTACATTTCGCATTTATAATATTAGTAATACTAATTTAGTATAGATGATCCTACACTTTGATTAAGCTTTCTCTACCTTTTTGCATTATAACCGGTGTGCCATTTCGGGAACACATCCCCTTCCTAATAATACTCGTAGGGCAGACGAAACAGGTGCAATAAAAATAAACATAGGTAATAGGGGTCGGTGTATAATGATTGAGATGCAATAATAGATCATGAGAATGTCGCGCTATATTACGTCCGAGTGTACAAATACTTAATGACCTAAGTTAATAAATTGGTGATTCAGAGTGTTTTATGTTCTTGTGTTTGTTTGAAACGATTGTTTTCTACACTAATAATATAAAGAGGAAAGATTGACTGTTTTGACAGGTAGGCTCCGAAACTACTGGACCGAACAGGCTAGTTTCCTAAATAAAATTTTTTAGTCAATTTTAATATAAAAAAAATATTGGACACATACATTTTAAATTGTCAATCAAACAAATAATTACAAAGTACGTATAGTGCGTTGAAGTTCTGCTCGACGTCATAAAGTGCTGCACTTTTACGCACTCACTGACGTCACGGGCCTTTTCTTTAGAACTTTGGCATGCTTTATCTCTTTACATTTTCATTAGTTTTAAAAAGTGAAAAATACGTGTCGAGTAGTTTTTGATAAGCTAATAATTAAAACTTGCTTTTTTACCCAGGAAACATCCCCATTGAAAATGTTCGTTTTTCAAAAGTTTTGACAGACATGAGCATGTACAGTACACGTACACTCACACAACTAAAGCTCACTCGCCTTCGTGAGTTGCAAGAACTATACACGGCATTATTATCTACTATCACTGACCCTCAGTCCACTAACAATACTTTAAAGAACAATGACCTCTTCAACAAGACAGGACACACAAATCTCTCAACACTTCCTGTAGGATACAACATAATGGGCAATATCCCTCGAATTCGGGACAATCAAAACTTTTGATTATGCCCCATGGAACAAAAGGACAAAGAACAAGCAAGGGAATTCCACTAACTTGTTTATAAACTTCAGTTATGGGTCACGACCCATTTTGATTTTTAAACCTTGGGACAAGTTGGACGATTTTGGCTCAACTCGGTCTTTGAGAGATAATGATGTTTGTGATGGTCTTAAGAAGAGTTTCTTAATAATAAGATTTTAATCTTTCGCGTTCCATTTCAATTAAAATAGTAAGACACGGGTCTTAACGCGACGTTTATTAATGAGTTACATTATGTACTCACGGCTTGACGACGCCGCGAACCGCCTGTCTGCTTATGACCACGGCTGAAACGTCAAGCCGTGAGTACATAATGTAACTCATTAATAAACGTCGCGTTAAGACCCGTGTCTTATTATTTTAGTTTCTTAATTAATTGAGACCTTTAGATTCTCTCAGAGACTGTGATGGAAAGGTTTCCCCCTGGTTCATCCATCTATCTATAAATGCAAAAGGTCACTGATTGACTGACTGACTCACTCACTCATCACGAAATCTATGAAATTGTAACACCTACAAACTTGAAATTTGGCAGGTAGGTTCCTTATAGGGTGTAGACATCCGCTAAGAACCGATTTACGAAACTCCACCCCTAAGGGGGTAAAACGGGATCCACGCGTACGAAGTCGCGGGCGGCCGCTAGTAGGTACATTTAATAATTTTCATCGAATTATATCAGACGAAAACAGTGGCTACCATCTCACTAAGTTTTTTTCATAATGAATAATAATTGATTTTTAAACAGGAACTACAATTTATCAAAGTTTCTATAAAAATGGGAAAATAAATACTTCATTGCACAACTAACACTTAAAGTAACTATTGTTAAGCTAATAATATTGGCGGTGTAAATCCTGATGTAAATTTATCTTAATCAGCAGGTAGAGAAATAGCACGCAATCACATCCAAGAACATAATATTTTTAGAAAAAACTTTCCAGCAAACGCTTTAGAATGTAGAATTTCCATACAAATCGCAACTTTGATATGAAACACGCCGAAAGTGAATCCACAATGTATTCTAAACATTTTAGAACACGCGAGGGTTCCGTAGATACAAGTTGTCGGAATTTTAAACAAAATGTTGAGAACAATCATTGAGATGCAAGTTTTACAAGTTTGAGAGTATTTAGTGAGGGAAAGGGAACATGGTATCCGAAGTGACGGGTATTTAGGTATGCCCGTATTCACAAACATTACTATGAGGTCTCACAGTGCGCGTGGACGCACAGGGTGACACATCCAATCGCAGAGCTCTATTCAACGCTGTGCGTTCGATTTGCTGCTTCACTTAAGCAAGCATCGTTTGTGAATACGGGCATTAGTGTTATTTAGTAGGCAGTTTCTAGAAGTTCAATGCAAGTTTTTTTTAGTAAAACACTGTTTGCCATTTCAGCACATAAAACATTATTGTTTGTTCCAAAATCAGCCTTTTTTGTAGGCACTTTCTTCTGGCTAATGGGCTATGTGCACTGTAGGCATCATTAGTATCCGAAAATATCCGAAAGTACCTGTTATTGTGTTTGAAAAAATATTACAAAGAAACTCAGTTGAGAATGGCGAAATCTTTGTCGATTACAGATATTTCAATTTTTAAACTAAATAAGTTATGATGAAGAACATCTTTATGTTTTATGGATTTATAAAATCGACATGACGTTTCACATAAGGTATCTTCCGAGACATCGAAGTATGATTTACAATTTGATGTCTTAGGCGGGATCGCACCATCTTACTTTAACAGTGACTTTATCAATAACCGGTGTTTTTTTATGGAATTTGACAGATTACTGATGTTTGTTGTAGTCAAAGTAAGATGGTGCAACTCAGCCTTATAATCACAGGTACCTATTACTGACAAATGTTAAAGATTTTATAAATGCGGAAAGGGATATTTTCGGATATTTTTTACGAAAACCATTACACACGCAGAGTTTCCCAACACTGGCCATTGTATTATCATTATTACTTTAAACAAAAGTTTCGTACCGCGTGCAATGGATTGGAGTTTTTACAGTTGAAATGGTTTTTGTAATTGGTTTAGTTTAAATGCGTATTTTGCTTGAAATGGAGGCTTCAATTCCATTGGGAGAAATAAATATTGTGAAGCTAAATTAGCGATTTTGTGCACTTTATTTTATGCCAAATGGAATATAGATGTAATGGACACGTAGGTAAATGAGCAGTGGGAATATAAAAAATGTTATTGAGCTTTTCCATTTTGTTCGGCTAAAAAAACGTTGTGAATTTGATAATCTGGATTATGGATTACTAGCTTTTGCCCGCGGCTTCACCCGCGTGAAATTTAGTTTGTCACAGATCGTCATAAATTATAGCCTATATTTTATTCTGGGTTATAAACAATAATACTGCAAATTTTCATGAAAATCCGTTCAGTAGTTTTTGCGTGAAAGAGTA